CTTTGAGTTTTGAAAGCTTTCACAAAGGGATAGGATGCTTCAGATTGCAGACAGAGAGGGGTCAGGTACACATGCACTGAGGGAAAGGTTAGAGGCACCAGTATTAGTTCAGAGAAAGGAACACTTGGGCCTCGCAGGATCACATGGAAGCTACCAAATTTGGAAAGAAGACTGGGAAGAAAAAAGAAAAAAGAAAAAAAAAAGAAGACTGGAGACATAACTGGTTTGTATGGCCAAAGATTGATTATTTATTGAGCCCTTACACAAACAAGATACAGAGCCTAATGCTGCCCATGTTTTAACCCATTTCAACATCCCAACAACTACGAGTAGGACTATTTCCTGGTTTGCACACAAAGAGGAAAGTGAGGTTTTGGGGAGAATTGAGTAACTTGCTTCAAATAGGTCATACAACTGGTAAATGTGGGTTCAAGATTTGAACTCAAGCATCTTGCAGTTGACGGCCTCTACTGCCTGATTCCTGGACCTTCTCCCAGGTCTCCCTGGGGTCCAGGACGAAGTCCCCTTCACTCAGAGCTGAATCCAGTTCTCAACCCTGCCCCCTGCAGTGACCTCTGTTCTTTAAGGGGCTTGAGTCCCCAGAGACTTGTACTTGAACCCCATCCCAAAGACTGAGCCCTGCTGTTCATACTCTGGGCTTGAACTTTGTCCTCCCTGGATACTAGGAGAGGCCTGTCCCCAAGTTTCCTGCTAGACACCTCTGCCTCCTCCTTCACCCTTGGGGACAGTGCTCAGGCTTCATGACCCCCACACACATCCTTCGCCTTATTTGGCCCCGTCCAACCCTGGCAACCATATCTGTGTCCCCAGCCCTCTCCCCTAGGGCACAGTTCCAGTGGCTTGTCTCCTGACACGCCTACCGAAAAACATCCACAGAGGCTGGCTGAGCTTCAGAGTTGTAGTTGATTTTTTTTTTTAAAGCTTGTAGCTCTTGAGAGCTTCCTATGCCAGGCCATGGATTAATCATGTACAGTGAATTCCCTCACGTAACTCTCCAGCAGCCCTGGGAGTAGCACAGAGAAGCTGTGGTTGTTGATGTCAACATGCTGGTCTAGTCCCACACTGGAGTTCTGCTGATGGTTCTCAGGCCCCCGAGACCCCAGAATCAAGAAGCCTCTCTCTGATTATGAGCCCCATCCCACTTCCTGTCTCCCAGGTCTGGGGCTTACTGCCCCTCATGTCGAAGGGCCAGAGGCAGATGTTTTTTGGATACCACAGCAGGAAAATCATGCCCCCTCCCTTCTTCCCTCCTCCATGGCTCTAAATCCTGGCCCTTGCCCAAAGCTCTGCTACTCACAGTGGCTCTTGGAGTCCCTCCATGTCTGTCTGTTCTGGGCTCTGCTGGCCAAGACTGGGGCAGTTTAGTGGATGCCGACCACCACCGTCCTGGGGCCAGACCACTCAGCTGTCTGTGGCTGAAGACACTTCCAAGTGCTCTGTGTGGGGAGCACTGACAGTCCCCTGACCAGGAACTATGCACACAAACCAGTCTCCTGTGAGGTCTGGGCAGCCTGAGGAGTGGGACCCAGCCCTTCCCTCACCTCACACTCCTGCAGCTACTGTGTGGCCAGAAAGCAGAAGCCAATCTGCGCTTTTTTTTTTTTTTGGCTTTTTGAGACAGGGTCTCACTGTGTAGTTGAGACTGACCTGGAACTCACTATGTAGCCCAGACTGGTCTCGAACTCACGGCAATTCTCCTGCCTCAGCCTCCCGAGTTCTGGGATTCCCGGCCTGCACTACCACACCCGGCACAATCTGCACTTTTGAAGAGAGGAACTGAATATAAGGAGTGGGTTAAACAAGTGAAGGAAGATCTGAGAAGCACCTCGGAGATTAGCAGAGAAACATTACAATCCCTAGGCTGGAGGGATGCAGAGCGCAGGCACTGTTGTTGGTGTCCAGTGTGTAGGGCCACTGAACGAGCTCTGGAAGTATGGCCCGGTCTGTCCAGCAGGACTGGGGACCGCATGGGAGGGCCATCCAGGGGAGCTGGGACCACAGCTGAGACTTGGCGCTGGCAGAGATGCTGCGTGAAGCGAACAGAGGGGGAACTGTCTTTGTTCCTCCTGAGGCTAGTGTTTCCCATGGATTCAACCTATCAGGCCACCAGAGGCCAAAGGAGCCTGGGAAATATTGTTCCCTGAAGTACAGAGCAGAGTGAAATGGCAGGAATGTGAGACAGCAAGCAAAATCCCTCCTCCAGAAAAGGGGCTGCTTAGGAGGGGTGGCTGCAACGTCTGTGCCTCTATGGCTCAGCCTACCTGGGGCTCAGGGCTGTCTCATACCCACCGCAGACTTCAGCTTCCACTCATAGGCCCCAGAAGTGCCCAGATCCCTAAGGACTGACGGCAGGCACAGACAAGGGGCTCCCGCGCAGGGAAGTGGCCAGGTCTTGTCACCATCCCACATACAGGGAGGCACACAGGCCCTGCAAGCCTTTCACCTTTTGTGTCTCTTCTGAATGGTAACCATGTTCACCGAGCACTAATGAACCAGGTGCTGGGCTTAGTGATTTACTTCACTATCTAATTTACTCTTCTAAAGGGTCTTGGAGCAAGGTGTGGTGGTGCATGCCTGTAATCCTAGCACTTAGGAGGCTGAGGCAGGAGGACCGCTGTGAGTTCAAGACCAGCCTGGGCTACATAGTGAGGTCCAGGTCAGTCTCAACTACATAGTAAGACCCTGCCTCAAAGAATATAAATAAATAAATATATATATAAATTGCCTTGGGAGACAGGACTGTGGGGGCCACACTGGGGGAAGAAAACACAACCCACAATCGAATAGAAATTTGAAGTGACATAACAGAAACAGTAACATAAAAGGAAACAATGCTTCCCAGAGATCTAAGGAAGAGCCACTAATGTCTGATAAAGTAATGAGTACTTCTCAGGAAAGATGAAGAAACCAATTCTTCAGTTTCTCACCAAGGGCAGTCAACCCACACTGACGCAAAGAGGGGCCTGTTGTAGATAACACAACTTCCACACATATTTCATAAAACAAAACAAAACAAAAATCCTGGTTTCTGGCTTCTCTTGAAAAAACAGAATGTTTGATTGGCCACTGGACCCGCATTCAGACATGGCGTCTTGCGGCTGGAGCCAGGAAGCTGCAGCTCCTTAGACAGTGGTCAGGGAACGCAGACCCTGGTCCATTAGAGTCTCCACAGCTCCCCAGTGGCCCTCACTTGGCCTTTTTCTCTCAAGGGCTTTTCAGTTTGACCCCAGAGGATCTTTCCGGCCCTCTGTCAGCTGGCCAAAGAGCCCTGCTGCCACCTGCTGGTTGCAGATCCCTCGTCCCGTTGGTACAGAGCGATACCGCTGGTAATCTGTAACTACTTTCACTGATCGGCTCATTTAATCTTTAACAACCCTGTGGGAGAAGGAATTGTTGTACCCATTTTACAGATGAGAAAACAGGAAAGGTCAGTTCAGAAATTACCAGTAAGAAAACAGATGACTCTGGGAGGCTGAAGAGGATCGAAAGTTCAAGCCCAGCCTTAGCAACTTAGGGACTTGGCAAAACTCTGTCAATTAAAAAAAATTTTTTTAAAGAGCTAAAAATATAGTTCAGTGCAGATGCCCTGGGTTCAACCCCCAGTATAGAAAGAAAGAAAAGAAAAAGACAAATGAACGAGGTTAAATGAATAGATTGTTCGGGATCCCCCTCCCCACAGTACTGCCTACCCCTCCCCCAATCCAGAGCACCTCGGGCTCTGTTTTGCCAGGACAGTTCCTAAGGCGTCAGAAGTGAGGTCCGGGTGGAGACAGCCAAGGATCCCCTAAGACAGGCTAGAACTATGCAGTGAGTACTCTTGGGGTCCCGTGAGGGGAGGACCGGCAGCCTGAAGGCCGCATACGGAAGCCATGATAAGAGCATCTGCTACTTGTGGTCAGGCAGGCGTTGGGCCCAGGTTTTCTAGGACCGAGCGCTGGGTGTTTTATACATATATGATACCCACACTGCCTCCCGAAGTCATGAGAAGCCTCCACTCCTGTTTCCTACGCCCATCCTCCCTGTCCCACAAGGCCCCACACCAGCCCTGTCTCCTCCTAGGAGCCTCTGGAACCACCTCAGCCCTCCCAAATCTCCCTCGATCTGGTGATGATGGCATTGTGCCCACACGACGAGAAAACTGCTTGAAGCTTCCACATTTCCAGCCAGCCTGGAGACTGCATGGAGGACAGGCTTTGGCGTCCCCATCTCTTGGGACATTTATGTAAGAAATATGTACTGAACATCTGTTACTTGTTGCACCCAACAGAGGCTTAGGGAGATTCTGAGATGCTAGGGCTCCCTGTCTTCCTGGAGTTTCAGTTGCCTGTGGTCACATCAGGACCACAGCCAGAGTCTAGTGCTCTGATACAGTCCTGAGCTTGTCTCCCCTCTGCTTCCAGCCCTTCAGTGGCCCCCACTGCCCTCAGAATGAAACCCAGAGCTTTGTATCACTGACCTTGCTAACTCACCTCCCCCGTCCCCACCAACACCCCTGCGTAGGCCGCGGGTTCCAGCTCTACAGACTCTTCTCTAACACGCCACCCTCGCTGTCACCGCTGGCCTTTCCGTGGCCGCCTGACAACCTTCACGAAATTCCAGGTGCTCCTTGGCCTTCAGCTGGATATCACTTCTGCTCAGAAGTCTTCCCCGGCGGCCAGGTCTGAGTCCAAGGCTGTCCCCTTCCTGGGATCCTGTTAACGCCTTATTCTAACCCTAACAATCATGGAACCACTGCCAACGTGTCTGTCTCCCACTCCCAGCCACGGACGCTGGAAGGTCAGGCCCCATCTGTCTGACTCTTTCCTGTATCCCCAGCACTTAATTCAATGATTGGTGAGCAGTAGACAATTAAAGGAACACGTGAATGAGCAAGGTGCCACCTTTATGTACAGCAATTGTCCAGGGAACCAGCGGTACGCGGGACGTCGAACTGCCCAAAGGTTAAAGTCAGACAAATCCAGAGACACTGTCATCTTTGAAGTCCTTTATTCCCAGCAGTTTACATCGGTTACTCAATGAGCTGGTGCTCATGATATCAACCAAATAATTCATTCATCTTTCATGCCCTCTCATCCAAACCTAAGTTGGAATCCAGAGGATTAAAGATACCTCCCTCTGCCAGAGAGGGCAAGGGTGCCCTTGTGACCCAGTCTTCCCCGCCTGGAAGTCTTGTTCAGCTCTTGGGCGAGTATCTCAGCCAGTTTGCCTGTGACAGCCCAGCAGGGAAATAAATGAGGTACAGTACAATGGTTCTAGGCATCTGGGGGTAAAAGGCACATTACACAGAGTCCCCTGGAGAAAATGCAGGCCATTCTCCATCTTCCCAATGCACATTTTCTTACTCTCCACTGACTTTTAATCTCATCGCCTGGGCTATGAGAAACCATAACCCACGTGCTACTGAATACGTTTTTATTTTCCCTTCAAGAGACAGCCTTGGTTCCACGCAGATTTCATTTTTCTCCCTTATGCCTGTGAGAACATCCAATTTTGTTCAGGTCCCTTTTAATGGCACTTAATAAATATACATTCTGGGACTTGACAGAACAGGCTGTCCTATTTCAAACTGCCTCAAATGCCGCCTGTTTAAATAGCCTGTACAAAGCTGAGCCAGGGCACGTCTTAGTTTACCCTTTTCTGTCTCTGACCCCGGGTCTGTCTGTCCATGCATATCTGGGGCAGAGGTCCTCAGCCTGGCTGCCTGTTAGATACATCTGGGGAGCTTCCTGAAGACCAAAGCCCAGGCCACCCCAGGCCACCCCAGGAGCTTTTCTGGGTGGGCTTCTGGCTTGCATCACAGTTGAAAGCTTCCCAGGTAAACGCAGTGAGCAGCCATGCTGAGAAGCCCTAAGCCAGTGTCCCAGCACAGTGGGCTCCCAGTAAGAATCTGTGTAACTCACAAATGGTTATCACACTTTATGATATATACTCCTCTGATCCCTATTTCTATCAGAAATCTGAGCAGGAAAGGAAAGGAAAATACATCAAGAGCATCTTGTGAAGCGAATTTAGGGCTGAGGAAGGGATCGTGGGGCCTGAGTTCCTTTGGCTTTCTGCAGTCTTCATGCTTTAACAAGCCCAGGGGAAGCACATTACAGATTGTCTGACACAGACAAGTACGTATTTCTCAAGAGCCCTCCAGATAGCAGGGCTAACAGTGCTCGGCACTCCACTGCTAACACAGAGACACGCTTGGAAATAAATCTACATTGCCACCTGTTCCACACACATCCTCATGCGGGCTGGCTCCAAACTTGTGAAAACTGCATAAAGACCCTGCTGGATCACCTTGCCCCTCTCTGACAAGTCTGCCATGTGCCTCAGCCCAACGCTGCCCGGGTGGACAGTCTTCCCGGGAGAGGACATGTTTGTGAGGGGACTCAGGCTTCAGGTTTGAGAAAGGGGTGATTCATTCAGAGTTCAAGAAATCGGCCCCTCGGGTGCTGCGCAGTCACATGCTGCATGACAGTCACCTACGGACAGAACATCTGCCAGATGTTCATGACATTATATCACCTCGTGGTGCCACAGCTTGGCTAGCTTGTGAGCATACGCTCTGTTACAGTCCTGAGGCATAGTCTCTTAACAAGTGCATCTGAAAACGCATCCTTTTCTTTTTTTATTTCTTTTTTTTTTTTTTTTTTTGGATTGAACTTGGGTCCTTGTACTTTTGAGGCAGGTGGCAGGCACCACCGAGCTAAATCCCCGGCCCTAACAACACATCCTTATTGTTAATCCACAACGAACACATTGAGAAGGAACCTGGGTAGAGCCTGGGCTTGAAGAAAAGGACACCGTGTTAACAGACGATGTTGGCTGCTGTGGGTATGGGTGCAAGGGGTGACGGCACGACTACTCCATGTGCCAGTCCAGGCCGGCTGGTGGCCAAGGCCATCCTGACACCACAGATGGCACTGACCCTGGTATCACACTTCGTGGTTTCTGAGGAGCCTCTGCACCCTTAGCTTCATGCCAGTCTCACACAACCTGGAGGGGAGAACTAGAGCAATGTCCTATGTCTAAGGCCACAGCCAAGTGACCTCAGGCTTCTGCTGCCTCCAGGCCCCAAAAAGCAAGCTGAAACCACGGGGCTCCCCAGCTCTTTTCCCCAGAAACAAGAAACCACACCATTACCTTGCCTCCCCACCCAGCAGCCTGCAGCCTGCACTTCCTCTGTTTCTGCACTGATTTGCATGCTCCTACTCCAGGGAGAACGGCTGCATGCTACAACTGCTGCCGGCCGTATTATACACCTCACCTGACATGCCACCGAAATCCCCTGTGCCGAGAATCACCTGGGAATTTGCCTACACATTCCAGAGCTGTGACTGGATCACTCCGCTCCCAGGCCCAGGCAAGATTCTCCTGGGAACCTCTCCACGGCCACTGAGAAGGCTCCCTGGAGTTTACTGTCCAAGATAACTCAGCTGCCGGCACAGAAAAACAAAAGCTGACTGGTCAACCTTGCTGTGTCCAGGTTCTGCACAGAGAAGTGTACCGTAAGGCCAGACAGTGCTGCACTCTTCCAGCCCGTTCCCCACAACCACACAGTATCCAGGTGAGTGTCCTGGCCAACTGAGTCCAGGTGAGTCCTGGCCAATCAGCTGTGACCCTAGGTTCTTATGCAAACATAGTGAATGATCAGGGCCACGAACACCCTGGCACGGCTCCCAGCAGCCTTCCAGGTGCCCGATCTCCTTTCTACTCCTGTTCTTTCTTCGGTTCATTTCCCGACAAGCCCCTTCCATGCCTTGGCAACATGGGCTCCAGGGAGGGCATCCTAAAAGGGTAGAGTCCAGCCCCACGGGGCAGGGCTTGGGGCCCTGGCCAGGAAGCCGGAAGGCACATATCCCCTCCGTCCGTTCACTTCCACCAGGCTCCACTCTGGGTTCCCCTTCTTGTCGTGGGCCTCCAGGACGGTCACAGGCTGGCCTGCCTGCAGACTCACCTCGTGTGCGCTCCTGGCCATAAACGGGTACGCTGCTACCACCTGCGACACAGGGCCAGGGAGGCAGAAATGGTCAACTGCACCAGGCTGCTGATCCACTCACCCGACTCAGTCCCCGCTGCTGGGCATTCCCTGCCTCCCAAGTTCATCCGTGGCACTAACGTCTGCTAGCGCCATACGAGTCACTGCCGCGTGACTGGCACTCTCCCTGCGCTTTTCTGGGTGTTGGTTTTCACAACAATCCTACCATTCTGTGCGCCCTGTTTCTTCAGATAAGGAAAGTGGGACTCAGAGAAGTCCAGAGACTCGCTCACAATCACACAGCTGTGAAGACAGACCTGCCTGACCCACCGTGGCCACGTGGCTGAGCAGACGCAGCAGCCTGACCCTCCCCAGATGGAAAGCGTTCATCGGATCCAGCCAGTTTCCCAGCCTGGAGTAGAACCAGGTGTTTGGACAACTTGATTACTTTTTAGGGAGACACGTGAACTAGAATGGAGGGGAGGGCATTTACTAAGCTACTACTGAATCTCTGTAGACCTCAGCTACATCATCCGCAAAATGGGAATATGATATTCTACTCTCTAGGTCACGGAGGAAATGAGTGAGTGAGTGAATGAACGCATACATGGGACTTCAGAGAGCGCCCGGCACACAGCAATGGCCTAATGATTGCACGCTGCTTTGACTCTGTTTATCATTACTGTCATTACCGGTGGCGAAGCCTCAGGAACAAGAGCTGGAGGACCCCAGGAACAGGGGACGCTGCTGCGTTTATGTAGATGAGCCCGCCCACACCGACCACCCACAGAGGAGATGATGCACCCTCAGGTCCTTCCTCACGGGGTGGCCCTGGAGCGGGACCCTCAGAGCCCCGTGCTGACCCTGGTGTGCTACTTCCGGCTGAAGTCTGAGAGTCTTGGCCCTGACGCCCTCACAGCGGGTGTACCTTCCACCGGTGTCCACACAGCCTGCATGCCCTGGCCCTCGGCATCCCGCAGCCTGTCCTCGGGGCCTCTGGGCTGCTGCCCCTTGCCTGGCTTTACCCGCTCTTCCTGTTATCACAACAACCCCGCTGAGCTACTTCTGCCTTCCAGGACTCTCCCCTCCTAACCCAAAGCCCACAGGGGCTTCCCATCCTCTCTCCCTCTCCCTCTCCCTCTCTCTCTCTCTCTCTCTCTCTCTCTCTCTC